TGAACACAAAAATAAGAGACACTTCAACTTTATTCATAGAATCAGTGATATCAGTTTGTTTATCGTCTAAACAAACCAACTTGATGCAAATAAAAATACTGCCTTTTATTACTCGACGTGAATTCCGATGGTTTAATTTGTTGCTCTGGAATAGGTATTCTTCCTAGGGTAAATATGTCTTTTGAACAGTCTTGTCACATATTTACCTATCAAATGATTCATGTTACAGTAAAAGCAATATCATCTGCATATGACGTAACGAAAGTTCATGTATCATTCTGAATAACTATCATCGATTTCTCGCCATCATACGTTTTTTCCCTAAAAATGTAACAGTTATACATTGAATTGAAATGGTTGTCTTTACCGATAAGATTATTCCAAGGTGTAAGTAACGAGATTCTGTGATCTTTATAAGCTTTCTAAAGTAATAAGATCATCCTATAAGCACGCTGTTTGTCAGAAACAAAATTTGAAAGTACTTTAGTCCAACAGAATAAAACCATTTGATTGTGTAACTCTATTTTATGTACAAGTTTGTTTACACTTCTTATAGCCTATCTACATTGAAATTGTCAAACCTCATTTGAATTGTGTTCTGCTTTCTACACATGCCAATATTATGAAATTACTTTGTTCTTCTTCACCATCAGCGCGCGAACTCTGAAAGTGGTAACTTTTTTCACGTGGTATAGTGTTTTTCGGAAATTTATCATTCGTAGGGTGTAGAATCCTTTTTGAATGTTTTGTGTTTTGGAAAATCCCTCCATGTTTACATATTTTTGTTATGACATGACGGACTTTTTCTGTTGACATTTTTGGTATTTTATTTGATTCCAATTTGAGATTTTATCATTGTATATTGTTATTATTTCTATATTTTGTACTTATATTGAAGTTTTTGTGTTTGCTTCTGATCTGTATATATGTTGTTTAAATTTGATCTTTAATATGGCTACAGCCATATTTGGATTGATACGGTAGCTGTTGGACTTAACGTCACT